ACTGATTGAAATTGAAAGTAGTCAAGAATATGGCTACAGTAGGTGACCTATTCTTCTGTCATCTAGGCTGTCATTTCTATCGCGTGCGTTTCATTCAACCTCTCACGCCGAAAAAGACTAGGATCATTCTTGTCAGTTTTTTTAAGATTTTTAATCGTTCCGTTAACACTATTTAACTCGTTTTGTTTTGGTGTTTAAAAGTGATATTGAATTTAGGTGTCTCAAGTTAGCAAATCATCTACGGAGGAACCTCGCGCAGAGTTGAGAACACTCGTCGGGCACCGTGTCCGATGATTTCGCGATCGCCACACTATCGTTGTCCGGCGTTCATGTCGACACCTCTAAAACTTCTATGTGTCTTGATCATGGCTCCGCCGCGGACCGATGGTGGCGCTCGCTCTTCCGCGTCAGCATTAGTTTCTGTGCTACAACTTTTAATGGCTCGCACTTGTGGCGTGAGCGCGCTCGGGCGCCCTGAGCGCGACAGCTAAGTTAATCTACGGTGCTGCTCGGATGACGATTGATCGCTAGTGAGCCTGTGGGATGCTGACGCGAGCTGCGCTCAGCGACACGCAGTCGGCAATGAGGTCACTCCGTCGGGAGATCAGCTAGTTGCAGGCTTCGCTCAAATGAGTACTCTGCTCTTGATAGAATCTCCAACCCGTGGCCTTCCATCTCATAAGTTGGCGCAGTAAAAACTCTGCAGTGCGGGATGTCAAATCTGGCTGACCTCTAAGATATTTACGTTGCGAACTGTCTATAGCGCTGACAGGTTAGTTGATATCCGGTCGAACGAATTCGCGTCCTGCGCGCCAGTCCGAGCAGACTATAGGGATTTGCATCTCGTCGCGCCGCGCCGCCGCGCGTCAGAGATGTTCCTTTGAGCGCTCTACGCTGCAGGTTTTCTCGGAGATCATCTTCAATTTGAATGAAGATGCGTTATTCGTAAAGCGAAGCACCTATCGTTTTTGGTCGTGGGACGGTCTCGTTGCCATCGGTAGACACATTTTTGTGTCGAAATATTCTAGAACCTGTAACTTCTGCACTTATATTACCGATTATCATGATAATAGGTTTGTATTAAAGTTAAAAATTTAAAATATCTAAAAAAAGAAAAGAGAAAAAAGAAAGTTGCAAAAAATACATACACAAAAATATAATAATGTTGTATTAAATTTGTATTTTAAATTTTAGATTTAAATTGTATGATTGTCATCAATAATATATATATATATCATATTACATACTATATATATAAGAATTGTATATCCGCCCTTCGGTTGGCTGTCGGCGCGGCTCGGGTAGCAAGGCGCATTGATGTTCCAGTGGTCAGGAACGCAAGTCCCGCGTCTCGTTGGGTACGAGGGATGGTCGTGTCCCTTGCCAGTCCGCGGCGTTGGCGTCGGCGCCGTGTGAGAGGCAGCATCGCACCATCATCGCCTCCTCGCCCGTCTCGCCGCCATTCACTCAGCGGCGTCGCTCATCTCTTCATCTCGGCGCGTTGGGAATCGCGTAGGACGCCAGCCTCATGACTGAGCAAAATTCGATGATGTACCATGCCAAGTCGAAAACGCGAGCGGAGGTAAAGAATCGGCCAGACACGATTACAGGGTCTACGCGATATATTTTCCACAAGTGCAGATGACTATGGTTTATCATTGGCAACGATGACTCCTCCCACACCAAAACATGGGGCGATCTTTGCTTTACCATACGCCACCCTTCATGCCAAATTTGAAGATGATCCGAGATCAAGATGCCTAGAGATGCGAGTAGAGATGAGCCTAAGGTCAAGGGTCGGAAGAGTTTCCGTCAGGAAAGAAGCGCCGAGTAAAAGTCCAGAAGCGACCTGCGTATGCAAGGCAGATACGCAATATGAGATAAACCAATATTGCGGAGTTTACCGCACATCCGGCTCTTGCGGAGATGAGTAACTATGGCGCAAGACATAGGCGCTAGAACGGTCAATGCGGGGTATGGAGGGCTGATTGTATATACGATAATTCTCTATGTGTGATAAACTCGGTAAGCGGCAGCTTGTTCTGTATTGTTATAGTTAATGCTGATTTACATTCTACCGAGGACCTATCGAATGGGTGTGACCCGCTCGGCGCCGCCGTTTTGGGCACTGCGCGAATGATTACCTGGACACACTGTTCAAACCCCACGACGGCGATAGGTTCTGCCAATGTGTGATCTATCGTTCTCGCGATCCACATGAGTCTCGACGGCTTACTAGAAGTTGGGGAAATAGCGTCGGGTTAATCCGTAATGAGCCCATGGGTTCGTACCCTCCGAACGAAGTTCGGGGTATGGCGGTCTCTCGCTATGTATGGATTTTCGGTGCGTTTCACACGGTCGACTGTGGTAGTTCGCGCGTTCCGCCCGTGGGTTGACAGCAGCTTAGTGCACGTATCTGCCCGCACCTCTCCTCTCTCGTAGCGAAAACATCACTTTTCCAATGCGCAGCACATCCTGTACAGAAGCTGCTGCCGCGGGAGCGTAGTGGCCCTCGCTGTCTCGTGAATCTGGGTGTAACTGTATAAAAGTACGCCGCGGACTGCACGTCTGTAGGAGAGCTGAAGCCGCTGTTTACCACCGACTGCGCTTGTTGACCTTTGACCTTTGACCCCCCAGCTTCGACATCCCAACACGTTTTGACGATCCCCCCCAACGACCCGAATATCGTGACCATACGTCGAGCGGTTAAGATTTGTGCCCAACTGTTGACGGACGGACGACCGGACGGACGACCGGACGGACGACCGGACGGACGGACGGACGGACGGACGGTCATGCGATTCTACAAGCTGCATCTGACTATGTCAGATGAGCTAAAAATTCAATATTTGTGTTGTTACAAAATTAGGTACTACAAATTTCATGAATTTTTTTTGGCTTGAACTACAGAGATACATCTCATCTATAAATAAAACGTGTGATTTTTAAAATTCGATTCATTTCACATTTGATAATAAATGTTTACTCTTCATCAGAGCAATACCCGTGCAAAAGCTGGAGTGTTTCCTTAGGCCAAACAAAATAAATACCATGTCTGGGGTAACGTAGCTGGTAGGTAGGTAGTGCGCAGCGTAGGTCGAGCGGTTGAGATTTGTGCCGTAATTCCGTAGATACTTTAAGTTAAGGGGGGAAATTAATATTCCCCCTCCATTCACACATCTTGACCTTTGACCCTTGACGGTGACCCCCAAAATCGACATCCTGAGTCCTTTTCACGATCCCCCCCGAAGTCCAGAATATCAAGACCGTACGTCGAGCGGTAAAGATTTGTGCCATAACTGTTGACTGACGGACGGACGGACATTCATGCGATTCTACAAGCTGCATCTGACTTCGTCAGCTGGGCTAATAAACTATGGTGTAACTACATGTCTAGACATGACACGTTGCCGCACATACACCCTCTCATGTCAAAGCACGGAGGCCAAAAAAAACAGTGAGTGACCAACTCGTGACGAGCAGCCTGCTCTCTTGTTATCACTCTCCCGGACAACACCAGCTATCGACCAACATCCAAACAATTTTAAACATTATCCAAAACAAACAAACGTTTGGCCGTTACAATTCTAATTAACCTTATTCAGTGCTGTTGAACATGCTGATCTTGATCGAGTCATACACTTTGTTGCCCATTGATTCCTCTTTCATCATCACTGCTTCCATGCGGCCATCCATCAAACCAAATATACCACCAGTGTGAATGAATAGAATCCTGTTTCCCTGAAATCTATCAGCATTGTAAGCAAACTCATGGACCATTCCTCTAGCTGCTTTGCCTGTGTACACTGGATCGAGAAGGATGCCTGTAGTGTTGGCTACGCTAGCAATAAACGTTAGCTCTTCTTCTGTGGAAATTCCGTAACCTCTCCCCTTATGCCCATCAATAATATTGATGATATCTTCCGATTTGACTCCGCTCAGCCCAAGCTGGTCCAGAATGTCACTGATGTGCTGATGAAAGTAAACAGGACTGTCACAGACACATATTGCGTGGATTCGCAGCTTGCTCCCTGTCAGGTAATTCCCAATGGCTAACCCACATGCTGTTCCACCACTTCCGATAGTAACGACAATGTCATCAAATCTGTTCATGACACCTTGTTCAATCAGTTCCTGGAATTGAGTTATATATCCAAACAAACCCACTTGGTCTGAACCACCTATCGGTATCAGATAAGATCTCTCCCCGTGTTTTCGCTGAATCTCGTCTGCAAGACGCTGCATTTTTGGTTTGATATCACGCTCGTACCTGTCTCTCTGTGGTATTAGGTAGATGTCCGACCCTACGATTCTGTCGAGAAACAAGTTGCCAACACAATCGAGCATGTGAGGGTTCTGAGTGTGAGACCGCAGGAACAGGTGCGGTTGTAGGCCGTGCTGGCGAGCAGCGATCGCTGTGGCCCTGCAGTGGTTCGACTGTACTCCACCTGCTGTGATGACATGCTTAAATCCTCTGTAAATTGCATCTGCCAGCAGAAACTCGAGTTTTCGCACTTTATTGCCGCTCAATGGCCCACCGTTTATGTCATCCCGTTTAATCGACAACCGAAAGCCTCCCGAGATGGATGGAATGTTCCATTTGTGTACTGGAGTATGGTGCATACTTAGATCCAGCTTATAACTAGGCACATATTGAAGCTTTCTTGCCCACTCTGGTGGCGTATATGGTGCAACTACAGAACCAGGGTTGCTACTGCGTGAACTCATAGTCCTATTTAATATAGTCACTGCTTGAAGTTGATCCCCAAGCCTAAAACTAAGAGTAAGAACAGGAGCTTTGATTTTTGTCACGAGAAACATTTTCGTCCTACTGGTAGTAGAAGTAGAAGTACTAGTAGTAGTAGTACTAGTAGGCCTACTACTCGTTTTTGGTCCGTCGTAGCCTAGGCCTACTCAATTCGTAGTAATACTAATAACTAGAGTCGACCGTAGACAACAAGAACTTGAACTTTGAAGTTGAAGAACTTTGCGAGTCGCCAAACAAATGAACATGCATATATCTATTAGTATTAGAAAAAAAAACACAGAAAATTATTCTCACCGTCTCCCTTTGTTTGAACTGCTCATATGGAAGTGGAATTTGATCGCGTTGATAAAGAAAGTACTTAATAATTTCTATAACAATAAAAGACTGTACGTCTTGTCGCAAAATGCCATCTAAATTTATTCTACATGTAACATCTTTATCGATACTAGAACTCATCGCCATTTTAAAGTTGGCGCGCAAATGTAAGGCCTCTTATTCTGCCATTGCATTAAAATGCACAGGTCAAAGTAATTAATTGACTCAAATAGGTGCAGCATCTAAGTTCTTTTAATATATAGCTTTGTATAGGTTTTTCTGATTTAATGATGCTATTTGTCTTGTAAATTAATTAAATAAATTTGCGTAATTATGTTCACGAATAACAAACTCGCTTCCTCTACTTCCCGCCAAGTTCTCGTTTAAAATCTACGGCAGCTGCCGATTTCGACAGTATTTGAAGGTAAATAAGGTTTATTTGTTTAATAAGAGGGTCGTGCTGAGCGTGGTAATAGGATTGAGTATATCAACCTATCTGTAGGATATGAAAATCTTCTTAGGGTGGCTGGTAATGTTGATAAATTTGGTAATTTCTAGACAGGGTGTTCAGTTGTTTCTTCAACGGCGTGGCCGCCATTTACTAGCAAAGCCGGTTATCGGCTGTTGGTTTGGGGCAGCGGGTCCCTTGTTCATATTGTTTCTGCTATTATCTCATATCTTCGTCACAATACGATTCAGTTTCATGCACAACGCGTTGTTATTACGCTTACATAAATTTATCACCAATAAATACAGGAAAGGGACGGCAGACGGGAAATTACACGCATCGTGTAGGGCCTACTGCCAGTACTGGTAGTGGTAGTACTGCTCTAACATATTCAGTATTACATTAATGTTCTGCTTCCGAATCACTAGTATCAGAACAAAGGGATTTGCGCGGCGCCAGATATGCAGCCCCTATTTAGTAACTATCGCATCATATTATTATTATATCATATGATATATCATATGTATGCATGGCCGCAAGAGGTAATGCATAACCTTGATTAAATAACATGGACTGCAAAGTTTTCCCGTTTTAAGTAGGTCTATAGCATAGGCCTAATTAATAATACATTGTGACATTGTGTATCATTATCATATTAAAATTGTAATGACTAATGTTATAAATTAACTTATAGTTATAGTATATGCTTAGATAGTCAGTCACCAAACTATTGATATGTACACTTGAAAGAATACTATATGCAGTTACAACTTACAGTCAGGGTGCTCTAAAAAAAAAATTCCCCACTTTCCTTTTCGGGCAAGTGGGTTATGAAAATGGTTGCCTGGAGGCTAAAGATACTTGCCCAGAAAACGTAAAGAAATACATGAGTTTTTTTTCTAATATGAATTTCGATGGTAAATAACGTAAATTAAGGTCCAACTAGTCAACATCCAGCATTTCACTTAACGACACGGTAGAAAGGTGAACAGCTGATACGAGTTTGTATACAAAATATATTCATGTTGGGACACAGCACGCAGTTTGTTTACATTTTTTAGGTGTCAGTTTATTATCAACAACCCACCACACTTCCCAATAAATTAATAAAATGTTCAGGTTTATTTGGGGCTGGATCGTAAGCGCAGAGAATATAGCGGTGCATGCATGCAGATATAATTGACTGACAGCACAGTAGTGATGTCACGATCATCGATTATACTCGATCATCGGTTGAACAGTGGCTCGAACCAAGAGCTTGGTTATCAAAGTCAATAATCGAATTCATCAGAATTTTTTTTAACTTGAACAAGAAAACTTGGAAAAGTGATGAGAATCAGAGATATCATCGCTACTATACAAGTTATCCTTTATTAACATACATGTATTATACACACAGTAGTAAACAGTGCAAAACAAACAGTAAACAGGGCTAAACAAGCACATACATGCACACACGTACATGCACACGACGTTACGCACACGCAGGCATTCAACACCCCGAGTAACCAATTGTAACCGATCATCAGTTACTTGGGTCCAACCGATTGACAACACTACAGCACAGTATACAGTGTATCTGTTTTTGTGCACTCCAGCAAAGAAAATCCTCGTTCACAGGTTGCAGTAGAGGGGCAAACATTTGAGGTTTGAGATTTACGCTGATCACGTATAAATGACCATGCCTGGCCTTGAGGCCGGGTTTACATGTTGCTGTGTGCATGTTGTGTATTAGTCCGCAAATGCAGACGTGATAACTCCGCTTTGCTAATCTGAGGGTGCGGGTTTATCGTCTGCAGTCACCCTTGTAAAAATTGTTGCAATTTTTGTTGTGGGCATTGGATAGGTGAATCGAGTAGCACTGAGGGCGTGACGGGGGTATATCCGACCCAAAATATCAAGTACAGACCTTCTGTTTGTCAATATCGCTTTCCGAAGACTATCTCCGTTTCAGAACTTTGTTTTCATGCAATAATTCATCCTAGTCAGTAACTTCGATATTTTTGGCCATATTGGACAGATTTTTCGATCGACCAATGAAATTCACTTCCGGTAGCCTCGGGTTCACTCGGAAATAATAATTCGAAATAATAATAGATGGCGCGGACTACCTACCATATTTCCTGTTGAACATCGTGAATAGCCGAAGTAACCGGAAGTGATTTTCATTGGTTGACAAATGTGAATGAAGACAGAACATTTTCTTTGGATGTTTATATTTACCATTAGGTTTTAAACAACTTGATATATTCTTATGTTGTGGCCGCTACCAGGACATCATGGCGTGCATGCACATAGATAAATGATTCAAGTTCAGATTAAAATAAATTCCACGCAATAGGATTGTATATATCGGGCGCATATATTACTTATAAGTGCCACCTCCAAGCTGGAGGTGGCTTTCCGTCATTGAGATAGACACGGCCGCAGACCCCATTACTGGGGTCTGCGTCGGGTCGGACTAGTTGTGTATATCACTGTATCCTCCGATTGTTTCATTTGCATTGTTTTGTTCATTCAAATCTTGTAGCAGCAAGGCAGCGCGGTGTTGTGTCTGTGCAAAACAATGCAAGGGATGGGTGGAAACAGAAAGATATCATTATGTCTAGACATTCAATGAAAAACAATTGCTTGCCTGAACGGCAGGGTTCTCCCTACGTTGCGCAAACGGGGCGCGCGCGCCCCGTTTGGGAAAACTCCCCCCTGTTTCAATCGTTGCGCCCCGTTTAAATTACCTCGCCCCCATTAACTTCCACCACAATAAAAGTTTGCCAGCGATCGTCAAGAATTCCTATTCGACCAGGACACCCTGCGCGTGTATTTTTACCGTGCCACGCATGCACTGGAGACAATACACAAGTACAAACAGTCAACCTGTCCCACACCCACAACGACTCGGCTATCTTATATATATACAAGAACCCCAAATACCGTCTATGGTGTGGTGACGATTTTACGCATTAATTAGTGGTACAGTAAAAAAACACGCCCCCGGACCCCCCTAGTTCCCCCCGTGCGTGTGTGCGCGCGTGTGCACGTACACGTGTGTGCGTGCGTGTGCAAACGCACGCATCCTTTTCGTCTTATCATATACACGCTGGCCATCTAATTTCTCCACCTGCGATTTACGTTTGGGAGGTGGAGGGCGAGCGCCGTCCAAATACTTCCACATAACAACCTGAATGTTAGTATTATACTATTGGATAAGGATGTACCTACTATTAGCTTCACTACTATTTGTATGGACTGCTTCAAGTAACACACGCATGCGATGTGGTTGCGATGTACATACCTCCCTATGAGAGCCTATAACTGATTAGTTGCGTCATTTCTACAATCAGACCGTTTGTTCTATGTCAACAGCTACTGTCAAGCTTGGTAGACTGGGTTCATGGCCCCATTGTTTAACAATGTTTGTACTGCCGTAGGGTCTAGCAGCATGCTTAGATCGTGCTAGCGTCTACTCTACTTGGACTAGCGCGTCTAACAGGGAAAAATTGTTAATGGGCACGAGTTATATATAGCTTTTTGGATCTTGGAAGAGAGACGCTGAAGCCGGTAAAATCGATGGGAAATTGGGACGGTGAGGGACGGGGAAAATATAACTAGTCCCGCCGGACTAACTGCTATGGGAATCTACTAGTCCTTCTGATTTTTTACTAGTCTCGGACTAACGGACTAGCGTTAGTGTCGAACCCTGCTCTAGTTGCTCCCATTTCACTGCGCGTTTGCTTAAAACCCACAAGAAAGAGGTGAGAAAACTGGCATTCTGGCGCAAACGCCGACTGTTTGCCAAACAAAATAGCCTCGAAGTGGTGACGTGACGTCACATGTTTTTATCTTTGCTGCGCCCGTACCGCTGTACCGCTGTACCGCAGCACCGCTGCACGGTTGCTTGGGGATTGGGGAAACTGTCAACAACATCG